TAGCAACCGTGGGTCTTCGACTCGATGTGTGACCCAGGTAGAGGCATATAGTAACTCTTGTCGATTTCTTATCTAAGCTTAAAAGCTGGGTTGTTCAAGCTTGTTCTATAAACCTCGCATGCATCTAAATTAGTAATTAGTGGGTACTTGTCGGCTCGTGTGATTGCTTCAAGCTTTCCGCCCAAGTTTCTCGCCCAAGTTTCTGCTGACCAAAGTAAAAGGCGACTAGTACGTCGTCATAAAAATTAATAAGTTCGTTTCGCCTCTCGTCGTTCCTATGCTCACGATGGAGGATCTCTTCGATAGCTAAACGTGTAAAACAGGGTCAGGCCTTCCAAGAGCAGAAACGAAAGGAGGCAACGGAAGCCCTGGGGCGACTGATCCAGGCTATAAGCCCAGTTTGAGCACGGGAGTTCCGCACAATGGAGCAGAGACGGACCATACAGGCCTGCTTTCCGATTGGATGATTCTTGGTATAACACATGAACCTCGAAATGATGAGAATAGCCACCTTTCCTTTCGCCAAGCCCATTTGTGGGTTCTTTGGACGAATTTATGGATCCTTGCACTGAGTTTCTTACTTTGCCCGAACCATCTACAGATTGGACAGATAACTTGGATGGCTTTGCACCAACACTCAGTCTTTCTTGCGAGCCTTCTGATCCCGACCCAGAAGTGCTTAACAAAAGATTGACATCACTTACAGGAGAAGCAGCATAGTCGTGGAACATCCAATTCATTCTTCATACGGACAGGTCTGCCGGTGGCGGCATCAGCGGGACAAATGAGCATAAGGTAGATAATGTCCAATCGCAAACAGACAACGAGGAGGATGAACTCATTGTGGGACACTCTCTTGAGCCAGTCTCCTTTCCTGGGAAATTTCAGACCCCGCACTCGCTGCCCGCGGTGCCCGAGGGTGTGGATGTCACTATGCAGCAGCGAAAGATGCCATCAGCACTTGTTCTGAAAGAAAAACAGACTTTCACTGTTGATTGGATTAATTCATCATTCAGGATATTCCCACGCAGTTTTCAGGTACATTTGTCACCGAGCCACTGTAGCAAAAACATTTTTCTTCCCCCCCCCCAGGCTAAGTCTGCATAGTTCGTGGATATGTATAACGGCCTCTAGTTGTGTATTCACTTGGCAACGCCGTTAGAATATTCTCTGGCTTCTTATCAAGGTACCCTGACGAACATACTTACTTTTGAGTGGGACACAGCCCCCCGCCCCAGCAAAAGTTGTAGCCAATCGGCTACTCCCACCCCGCTTACTGTCAAGTCCGATGCATTTGCTAATACCAAATGACGCGGTGGTTAACCGGGTTCAACTCTCAAACCGTGGTATTTTAGTTCTAAATCCGTTCAAGTTATGTTACGTATAATACTATGCAGTACCTCGTTTCCACTTCCAAGTACATCGCGCTATTGTATACGTAGGGCACTCGGGCGGCCAGGTGGATATACTCCTAGACAAGATGCATTAGCATTCGGCGCAGAGGCTCTTCATAGCGTTACATCGCTCCTGACGGATATGCACCAAGGACCGCGCCGACGATGATTTTGCCATCTGTTCATCCGCAGAAAGCCGATGAATGCAGTCAGCCTCGGCAACCCTAATTGGAGACGACTATGCATAATGGATATCAGAGCCTAGTGCTACATAGGGAAAGAGAGAGGACTATAATGACTTTGAATCCAATTAGCCTAAATGATTTGAGGAAAGCGTGGGCTTCTCTCCACTGAGAGGGTTTTTTGAGTGCATGAATCCGAGACGTACGCCGCAATACGATCCTGCGCCAAGGGCCGCGCCCACGATAGCTCAACGTTTGTCTTTCTCCGCCAAGAGACGATGAACGCAATCAGCCTTAGTAACCCGGGCAAAGGAACCCATTGCAACATCGTGCTTATGGTATTGCAACATCATGCCTCATCCTACGCGTTCAAAGAAGGCTGGTACACACATCTACTCTCGCTTTCAACCCCTGAAGCCTCGGAAACAATGAATTACACGAGAATCTAACGACGTAGAGTAGTGGGAGACTAGACTGAATGGGAAGATGAGACGCGGTGACGAGATGTTAAGAACTCTGTGATAAAATTCTTCCTGAAATGTATAAAAGGTTCGATCCTATCTCTCTCTGGAAGCTCTTGAACCCATTCCCATTCACCTCAATATCTTTAGCCTCCCAGCAAAGAAACCAGTCTTCCATCAAGCAACCTGCACAGTTTCACTCTGGAGATCATTTCTCCGTCTCTGCCAACCAAAATGAAGTTCTTCGCCGCCATCAGCCTCGTCTCGGGCCTCTTCGCTACCGCCGCCTCGGCCATTGACCTGCACCTCGAGTTTGCGGGCGGTTGCAGCACCAGCGGCGGCGGGTACATCTGCCGAGGCTGGAACCCCAACACTTGCTGCAGCGTCAATGCGGGTACCTATTTCGCCAGTGGCTCGTTCCGGGCCATCCCGCGCAACTGGAACATCCAGGCGCGTGGCCACGCCGGGCCTAATTGCGGCTCCATCCGCGAGCAGCAGGACAGCGCCGGCCGCGACTATGTCTGCCTAGGAAATGGGCCCTTTGGCGGGCTGGGCTACGGTTTCAATAACAGAAAGATGATCCGCGGTGCGACCCTAGACGCTCGCGATGGCGAGGAGACTGAGGGTTGCGCCCAGCCCAACGTCCTGTACCTCGCCGACGGCACCCAGTACAACTACACCGCCATTGTCGAGACTGGCCAGGCCACCGAGGAGCTTGTTTCGCTTGTCGAGGCCGGCGCATCGGCCGACGACATCCCTAGCTTTGAAACCTTTAAGCTCGACGAAAAGCTCGTTTTGTAAACGACAAGCATCACTTAAGGACGCGGCCCGCCATCATTCCGTATTCAAGCCTTATGGAGAGTGCTCGAGCTGTTGTTCAGGTTGTGATGCGGCCTAGTGCTTAGGATTCAGCCGCTTCAAACGTCTCCTGTCCTGTAATCTGACCATTTCTGTTACGGGGTAGCACTTCTCTCCTTCTTCATGTGCTCAGCTCGTCCGAGCATAACGATACACTCTTTTTTTTGAAAATTGCGGTAAATTTACCTGGGGTACCTAAGTACCTTAATTTAGTCAAAGACAAAACCTTCATTACTGCGAGTCATGTACTCATCGGCCATTGCGCCCTATGATTACTTTCTCCGGTCTCTTTGTCAGGCCAAGTGTAACTGCCGTATCTATAAGACGTCCCATGTGCTTATCCCATTGAGTGCTACTAAACTATATCATAAGTCAACCTCACTCGCTGTCATACCCAGGCTATATGATGATAAGAGCCTACTAGGAAGAGCAAAATGAAACAGGGATAACATCCGTGGCTTTATACACAGTACTCCGTAAATTCAGAATAATTAGAGGGACATGGTTTCATAAGGGGCTTAACAAATGTAGAGTTTCTAGTTACTTAACCGCTTGTTCCCTATTGGTTTATCAAGAGAGTATCAGCGCTTACAACCCGCATTGGGCGGAATAGCTTTTCTTGGCGCAAGTTCTCATTTGCTGAGAATACGAGAACCTGACACATACGTACATCTAGCCAAACCAGGGAGCAGGACACATGCTGCTGCGGATAGAATCAGGATTTCAAAATCCTATAACCCGCAAAGATGGGCGGCCCAACCAGCCCACCCACTCGCCTTAGTCTCGCAACCTAAGGGCCCCGGGTGATCTGACTGTGCCCGAACGATAGAGAGGTGGCTACTCGGGTCCGTCCACTCCTTAGCGAGGTAATCTCGCGGCTGATGCCCTCTATTTAATTGATTCGAACGTCATAGTTCTTTTACTCGGGACCCGGATATGATGCTTGGCCTATAGATTCGGATCCGAAGAGAGAGGCCCGCGTGTCCTCTACTTGGCAACGCTTACAAAGAATACGACTGTCTACAAGGCATATTGAACGGAAAATACTACAGATTACGTATTAAAAAGCTTATAGCTGACTATGGAAAGCCTATGACAATGGTGATAACAGAGATCGTAGGTTTAAGGCCAGGCGCAGTTGATGCTGACGCAATCCTATTCCAAAGGACTTGGGCTTTAATTATGCCATTGGCTAAACTATGACTGCAATTTTGCTATTTCCCGTTATAGTCCTATTCCCATATAGGCCAGCGACCTTGAGCGGAGGTTGATGAGCAGACAAGGGCATACTACGTGATTCCGACCCAAGAGCGCGTTTCGGAATTCAACTCCTCTATTCTAAGGAAACATTGGGGCCCAAGAGGGGCATTCATAAGAGCCTCGATGGACGAGGACCAAAAGTTGCTCTATGCTCCTCCCGAAATTGGAGCCTCTAAATGGGGAATGAGTTTGCCGACAGTTTAAAAACCTTCTTCGTTCTCCTTGCCACGCGTTCCTATAGGAGATCTCGCGCTGTAGAATTATATAGATGATGTACTGGGCTGTCTCACTTGAAGAGAGGAGCGATATAGCATAGGTAGGATATGCCACCAGAAGATACTAGCGACTTCTTTGATCTGGACCTTTTCGCAAGGGCTCTTAAAGCACAGCATTTTAACCCCGCTTTCGTTCCCTTGTAAGAACACGGTGAGCTTCTCGTCCGTAATCTATTCAGGCTCCATTTGACTGGAGATTCTTAATCCAATACTATGTTATTGCACAGCATCTTACCTACAGGTCATGAATCATACATAATCCAAAGGAGGTCGGTCGGTTAGCACGAGAACATCAGACGTAGACCACCCCTGAATATTGCTACCGGAAATGGCCGACCTTTTGCCTAATAATCCATCATACGAGGTAGAATCCATTTTTATCTAGACACCTTATTCACTATTTGCCGGCTCCTCCTTATAGGCCTTTCCTTGATATAGCTTCAAACGCAAAGCGCCTGCCAGTATAGTTCAAAAGAACAAGATAACTCGGTAGACAAGATAAGTAAGTATTTTAACTAGTATCCTCAACTTTAGGCCCACGATCCTAGGAACCTATAGATGAAGCGCTTGTTATATCGAGGGAAACGCTACTAAGGTCAAATGAGGGTAGTAATCCTTGTGTGCCGGAAGTTCACAGACTTCCCCGGCTTGCCAATTCCCCATCGAGTTGTGCGTAATGCTGAACTTGGCTCCCTTGGTCTTTTCTGCCAAAGCCACGACCTCGGTCAGAGTCAACCTATCCCCAATGAAATACATCTCCTTCTCCCAGTGATCCAGACCCAGAGCTATGACGACAAACTTTGCAATGTCGAAGCTGTACGCCATAACAACAGTAACTGACCCAGAGCCTGGAACGGTAGCCGTGTTGTGCATCATGTCGACCAAAACCACTAGAGGCGTCATATGCGACTTTCCGCGAGGCATAACGAAGTAGTCGGAGAGAAACCCATTGAGGAAGCAGGTCTATTCGAGCAAGGAACCCTCGAGAGCTTACATGGCAAGTACTTTGCCTTCTGCAGCTAGGAATACCTTCGACTCCCTGAACAGAACAAGTCAGCGAGGTTTCATCTTGGGTCAAGTATCCGTACTCTGGAGTATAAGTAATCCCCCACACATTTGCGATATATCGCCTCGTCACGACCGACTTGCTTGCGGTTTGAATGAGATTGAGCTCAGACTCTATGCCAAGAGACGAAGTGAGCGTTGAGATAACGGTGCTGATTGAAAAAGTCTCCAGTGTGCTACGGAGCTGGTTGATATCCGAGTAGTCGACGGAGATGATACGGGGTCCAATTTCAGCTTCTTTCTCGGGGTTGGCCTGCGGTAGACGGCATAAACATCCTCGAAATACAGATACAGATGCAGGGGACGGAAACATTACTCACTGTTCTGGCGAGAATCACTACGTTGTGAATTCCGTCGCGGACAATGGTCTCCACGATAGTGCGGCCCATAGCGCCTGTCCTTCCGGAACCAGGCAGTCTGTTCATGGTCCCCGAAGTTGCTGACGGTACGACGCTCATGGTCGGCACCCAGTTTCCATACCCAAAGCAAGGCCGCGAAGGTTGGCAAACGTTTGCTGCCAAACCAGAGTCATTAGCTGCACTGCTCCACAATGACTACGATCAATGGCACAACACGGCAAGACAGATCCTCGATCAGTTATGCAGCGTTCCAAATCGACTTCTGAGTTGGTCGTTTGACGAAATGCCAAACTTGCCTACTTGGTCGTCATTGTCCGGAAATGTCATCATCATCAAGGATGCCGCTCACGCTATGCCAGCATCCTCCGGGCAAGGTGTCAATCAGGCCTTAGAAGATGCTTATTCTCTGTCGAGGCTTATCGCTGTAGATTGGACAAGGGAAAATTGGCCACTCAGCCTTAACACATGGCAATCTTGGCGACAGACAAAAATTGACCGCGTACTTCTACTCGAGCAACAAATCTACGAAGATCTGCAGAAGTCACCAGACAGATATCGACCGCGTCAGCTGATATTAAACCGACACTGCTAGGTCCGACGCGGTGGCTATTTGACTTGGACATAGAGAGGTTAGACGCAAGATTGGCAGCAATCTAGGATTAAGATACTTTTTGTCGATTCAAGAAATCGATTCTACGGGAAGATTTCCAGGCACCTTTCGAAGAAAAAGGCTTCATGTTTCAAAGTTGCTCCCGTTATTATCCTAGAACTTAACCATCTGGGCTCAAAGATTATAGACTTGAAGCAAGAATGCAGTAGGGGCTTCGATCTTTCCATCTTCCAGCCCCCGAGGCATATCTCTGTAGCGACGTGCGTACGATGCAAAATCTTGCTTACTCTGTCTAAGGTCTTTGTGGGATACGCGTGCAGGGTTAGAAAGGGGGATGACTTTAAGCAGTCCCGTATCTCCTTGGCCACGAGACAGCTAACTTGCAACTTGATGCGGTCCAGTACGACTGTACAATCCTCGAGTACCTACGGAGGTACCCTTACATAACATAAAGCACGAAGTAAGATTGCGAAAACTTCATTGCATAGACATAATAAGTTCTTGGAATGACTACCGTCATAGTAATAGAATACTAAGTCTTTCAGAGCATGTCCACTCAGTCCCGCCTCCGTGTTACCGAGTTAACCTTAGTGAACATACTGAATCTATCCATGCCGTGTTTAGTCTTTTTCCCCTTCCTCTTTTCTATCCTTTCTCGTTTATCTGATTGGCCAACCCCTATGTTGCTGACAGCGGCACAGCGAAACGTAGGTACTTGGCAAATGTGACCATGCCGACCAACATGCATGAACAATCTTATGAAAGAGGGGTAGGCCGTCGAACAGTCGAGAGTCATAAAAGACTCCTTACCGCGCCTGGTAAGTAGACCGATACAGCATCCTTTTCCTCGGAAATTCGTCCTCTCTAACGAGAAAAGCACAACGCTTTGACCTCAGCCTGTATCTGGACATCGGCAAACGGCCCAGCATGTCAGCAGCACCTGTAGCGCCCACCGCAATGAGCTCGCAGTTTCCCAATGAGTCGCCAATCATTGTTGATGAACAGGTAAGCATCAAGGAACCGGTCATGTGAACTTTGGAGTTGATGAGCTATGATCTCTCCAGCTTGATGAAGACGCAACATCAGATGTCACCAGCGTTAGTCTCGGCTTTTTGCGTCTCGGGGATGTCTTACTAAAGATACATTGATGTTTGTAGACCATAGCATCCTCAATGACTAGCCTTGCAGACTCAATTTTCAATTTTCGTGTGGAGAATGGGCGCACATATCATCGATATAAAGATGGAAGTAAGTTCCTTCTGATATTCTTTTCACGCCGCAAATTACCTTGTCTACTGATATGAAGCATCTCTGATCTGTAAAGAATACTCCTATCCCAATGATGAGAGGGAAAGTGACAGACTGGGTAGGTCAGCTTTATGAGCTCCAGCGTCCTGGAGCCAATGTCGCTCATGAATCCTGCAGACCTTCAACATCACCAATTCCTCCATTCTGTCGATGGAAAACTTGGCCTCTCACCGCCGAACCAAGATGACTACCCCGCCAAGCGTGTTCTCGATATTGGTACTGGAACCGGGACTTGGGCAATTGAGTTCGGTGAGCTCAAGCCCGAAGCAGAGGTAGTGTACATCACTTCAAGTCAATGAATCCATCCACTGATGATGATACTAGGTCATTTGCATTGACTTGTCTCCCCCTTTGGCCGAGTAAAACTCTCCATTCAAACACTATGACCTATGACTCCATAAACTAGTCAAGAGTGCCGCCCAACGTAACATTTGAGGTGGATGACATCGAAGAACCGTGGACGTTCTCCTTGCCATTTGACTACATTCACAGTCGAATGATGACGTCTAGCATATTTGATTGGAGACGACTCATTCAAAATGCTTTCGAGTTCGTATCTTAGTTTACCTGTTCGCCTCAGAACCCCTTTTACAGACTCTGACCAAAACCAAAGTAATCTCACGCCCGGTGGCTACCTCGAGCTCCAGGAGATGGATCTCATGCCTCAATCCGATGACGGTAGTCTGAAACCCGACGCTGCGGTTGTGCGGTGTTTTGCCCTCCTTGTGAAGGCGGCTACGGTACTTAACCGATCCTTTCAAGACATCCCGGATCTCGTCAACGTGATGCAAAAAATAGGTTTCGTCGACGTCTCAATCAAGAAGGTGATGTGGCCAGCAAATACGTGGCCCAAAGGGCAACACTATAAACTACTAGGGCAATGTGCCCACGAAAATTGTATGTCCGGGATTGAGGATTGGACTATGGCACCTTTGACACACGGCCTTAGCTGGGGTAAACAAGAAGTGGAGGTCTTTTTGATCGAGCTGCGAAAAGAATTTAAGGGCCGACGCATTCATGCATACTGGCCTTGGCAAGTCACCTACATTACCTTACCCAATAGGAACATATCACACTGCTGACTGGATCACCGCATAGTTATGCACTATATGGAAGAAAACCTAAAGCCAGATGATAGATCATGCTTACGTAGCTTGCGCGAAGTCTCGATGAAACGAACTGGACCAGGCCACCTGCTTCTTAGGGTTAGCATTTCACCTGGCATGTTAATCTATCACAAAATGGCCACATTCTTGTTCACTTTAAGGGATATAGGAGTCTTTTGAAATTAAACGAATGAATATCAACCTGCTTGCCTATGCCCCAGTCTGAGAAGTAGGACTCCCAGACCTATCGGTCGTCACAGATTGTGTACTGCCTTTGGAGGAACTTCCTTTATTCCACATTTCGAACTCCCTCGCTATGTCGTCCAGCCCTGTATCAACTGGAGACAGTGACAATTCCGTTGATGGGTCATCTGAGATCTTGCTGAACTTATCTCTTCTATAAGTCGGTTGGTATTCCTCGGAGGGTGTTGCATCCGTTGTTTTCTTTGGCTTTCTGCTAACCAAAAATCGTAGTAGTGGCCGAAGTGCAGGAAGGCTTGCACACAGAATGGCACACGAGACTTCAACTAAAGACCAATTGATGACGTCCACATTGTCCCAGGTAACATCAGATGTGAACGAAAGATGAACCAGAAATTTCAATCTGACCATACTAGTGACACATCCACTGAAGTACCGTCGAAATGGTCAGCGAGTTCTTTCCGTATAGGAGCTGGCTACTTACAATGACCCTAGCCCAAATATGAGACTGAGCCAGAGTTTCTTCTTGGTACTGAGCTGAAGTCGAAGAAGCTCTGGAATGGGAAGAATAAGGATAGCAATGTCCTCAATGACGCTGAATACTGCACCAGAGTAGCCAATTGCTACAATATTCATGCATTTTCTAGATGGATCGTCGAGATTCCAGGTTGAGGTGACTGGCGTGCATTCGAAAATGACAAGAAAGAGGAATATCGCCGCGTGCAGAATCAAGAACAGAATAAAGAGTTGGGTTGTAAGATAGAACCATCGAGAAGAGAAGAAGATGCGCGAGAAGAAAAGCAGAAGTGAGATTTTAGCCATAATCTGGGCCAAGATATAAAGTTGTTCGCCAATATAGAACATCTGAATGAGTCTTGTGCTTGCCCAAGGTTCGACATGCCAGTAGTGCAAGCCAAACCCTAGGCCGGTTCCCGCAATTTGGATGCCTGTTATTGCGGCGAGAAGGACCTGGTATTGGTTTGTTAGTATGCGATTCCCATACGTCGCTCAATCTTCATTCTTTATATTGCATACCGTTGCTGCAATGATCATCCAATCATCCCACCAAAGTCGGTGGTCAACCAGGTATCGTGAAATGCATCGAAGTCCGACAACAGTGAAGGCAGTGATAGATAATGATATTGCCACTGCTCTTGCTTCTTCTCTTCTTGACGGCTTCGGGAAAGTCGCACAGAGGTCTGTCTCAACTTGAGCAGCACCTATTGAGACATAAATCATCATCGATTCCATCCAAGGGTGGCGTCGCGCATGGTCTTACGCTTTTGTTCCTCGAAAGAACATTTCAGACGAACACATGACGACAGGTCTGCCTGGAGTTCGATGTCTATACATAGACAATTGGCGATAGTAGAGACAGAGTCCAGCTTACAGCCCCCATGTTGGAGACCAGTAAGAAGGCAAGGAAGCTGCAAAGACGAATGGCATGTCAGTTTTGAAGTCCCGCAACTCTATCGTGCCCCGACATTTGAGCTACAAATACGAATTGAGACCAAGTTATGTGTACTCACCGCGCATGATGGAATCTGTGATACAAGGCTGGTGAGGGTGGTTTCCGCACCCCGTACGGACGAGAAGTATGGCGATAGCAAGAGCACAAGAAGGTAATGCTTCATCTGCCTCATGTTCGCCGAACCATTCCACGTGGAATGGAGAACGTTGCCAAACGTGGACCTGAAAAGTAAACGCAGATGGAGGAGAAAGGGCACAACGTGCCCACTCCCCAAGTGAAGAGGGCTTTTTTCTGTACATAAACAGTGGATGAAAATTGGGAGGATGCACTAACAACGGGTTATGGCGTATGGCGTCCCTCTGAAACGCCGTGCCGGCTGCTAGTGTCCAAGCATCTCTGCACTATTGAGTACTAAACTTGCGCCGTAAGACACCAGCTCTTGATGCCACTGCCAATTCCGTGTGATCTACCACCTCAGGAGAGGAAAAGGGGTTAATCATGCCGTGTGCCAGATGATATTGTCGTGTTAAACACGTTGCTGGTGCCAATGCAATCTACGGCAATTATGCCAAACGCGTCGCTTGCGCGCCTCTGTCGCCGTCTATATCCGGTTAGAGAGAACAGTCAAATTAGGCCGCCTTGGATATACCTACCTTCTGCAGGTAGAAGAGACCTGGGCTTTGAATAAGTGTCAGGGTCAAATTGAGAGTCCAAATTAATAAGATGCCTTTGTCTGATCAGCTTGGCTTAAGAATTTGGGCAAGGAGAAGTAATCATCGACACTGTCCTAAATAGCCTACCAAGTTTACGTCGCAAATTCTGAGGGGCTTGCAGCGAATAATCATACCCTCTTCTTTCGATCGTGACGCCCTTTTCATCATCTCATTCTTCTCATTTAGTTCTCCCTCTGTGATAGTTCCTAGCCCAGGACACCAAGTCTTGCTTTAGTCTCTAAGAAAAACAACCACAATGCTCCTCTTGATGGCACTTGGAAATATGTAAAGTAGCGCAGGGCCATATTCTAGCTGATTTTATGTGTCTCTATCACTAATTGGCTCGAGAGGAAGAGGCAGGCCCTACTAAGAAAAGGTTCGCATATGTGGACCGAGTTGTAAAGACTAAACTCTAGGTTTCCCTTGCTCTTCAACAGCTACTTTCATCGCTAACTCTTGAACATCGCCGCACAGGAAGGCAAAGTTTTTCGAGTAGGTAATCAGTGATATTCAAAGAGTCGTAGGCCAATTGCGTTCCCCGAAAAGCTGGAAGATCCTGACTGGTATCATCCCAGTACTTGCTTTCGTTCGTGAATGTCATGAATGTCCTCTCGAACTATCTTCATCACCTTTGTACAAAACAAGTGAAAGCTTCTTTTCGTAATTACCATGAAGGATTGATGATTGTATCAGATTTAATTATCTAATAAAGTTATTCCCCGTCCCTGATTCCAAGTTTAAGCCGGTAAAGTGATAAACCCTTTAGACATAACATCTTGGATTCCTTTGAGCCAGACATTTGCCATTTTGACATATCCTCCGTCATTGGGATGCCTCGTGTCGGCAAGATCGTCGAGGGTCGGAGCGTCTGCGCTGCGCATATCAACCATCGCGAACTTGGCGCCGGATTGCTGAAAATGTGTTGCCAAGGCTGCGTACTGTTCGTTGATTTTGACGCGACATGCATCTTGTTCGGGAACTTTGTTGGCAAGAATTGATGTAAGAATCACAGTAGCTCCTGGACTCTGTTGATAGATTTTGTTGATCATGGCTGTGACATTCGCTCCTGCATCTGGTACCTCTCCACCTTTGTTGCAATTGTTGGTGCCAGCGTCAACTAACACGAGGTTTGGTTTGAGCATAGGTACAGCCTTGTCGGCAGAAGCGGCTATCTGGTCAATTTTGAAGCCACCCGTTGCCTCGACGGCATTGTCGGGGAAGTTTCCATTGGCTCTTGTGCCCACGTACGTAGCATTCATGCCTTTGGAGACAAGTAAGTCCTGCAGGTCTTTCCGATAGCTGTTTCCAGTTGAAGACCCGGTACCGAAGGTTACGGAGGCGCCCAGCGCCATTATACGTAGTGGTACGGTCGGCCCTGGCTCTTGTCGTGGAGTATTTGGAGCCGCCATCGCGCCCACGACGCATATTACAACAAGTAAAGGGCAGCGCATCTCGAATTAGTTGGGATATGTGGACACCGCGCTTAAGCAAATGAGATCGGGAGCTAAAGGCGACAACATTTGAGTTTAGATGCCAGGGACGTGTCTCTTATACCTGAAAGTTCTTTGAGTGAAAACTCAGGGTTCGGACGCTCTTGCGCCTAGAGGTATCATTCGAGCTGATGTCTGATACTCGCACGGAACCGGAAGCCGTTTCACTCCCGGCTGGCCTGCAACACAGACTTTCCGACTGCAGCCTGCATCCCTACATCTCTTACCATTCTCCGTGTTTATGAATTCATTTCAATATTACAACAACATGCATCGCCTCGTTATTTACTAGCGGTAATAGCGCTCATGAGTGACTCGTGGTCTTGATGCCTAAGACTTCCTATATGGCCAGCTTGATGCCTCGGCGACGAGATGACTAAATAAACTGAAGTCGCTAGTCGCAATGAACTGGAGGGTGGCAGGAGTTTCATGATCTTGATATTGGGCATTCAAGACTTCAAGACGTCTTAAATTATGGGCTTTCGCATGTTCAGAAGAACAAATGTTCCAGCAGGGATGAAGCCATTCCAATGCGAAGCAAGCCTCAAACAAGCTTCCATGCTCCGGCTAAGAACACGATTGGTTACAAAGGTCCAAGCTCGTCTAGGATGATTCGTCTGTCTAATGATAGGGAAATATTGAGACGAAGATCAGATGGCAGCCTTGGCATTCGTAATAGCTTGAAGCTGGGTGGCTAGGCCGTTTTATTTAATAAAAAAAGAATAAGAAAACAAAAAGATTTGCCTAATTACTTCCTTATGTACCTTGGGGTTAGCCGTCTTATTGACCCCTGCTATACCCGGACCTAAGCGGCATCACCAATTACCTCCAGTCCATCCTCTTTTGGCTTCGAGAAAACTATAAGCTTTAGGAGTCAATCTCAAGATTCAACAGTGCAGTATTGCCGACGATCTTAAACGAAAGCTGCCAACAGTAGGTTGGCATATGCCGATATCGCAGACAACAATCCGAATCAGAAGCGGCAAAGACAAGGGCCATCCGCGGTCGGGGCCCAATGCTGCGTAGTAAGCCGAAATGTGACCCTCAAGCGCTAGCGGTGGCTTTGCGGCAATCCCACCAAGGGCCAAATCCCGAAGGCGCGTCACGAATTCTGTCTATGTACAGGAACGAGACATGTCAATGTCACGCTTGAGCTGCTGCTGCTGCTGCTGCTTGTAGCTTCGCCCTTGTTTGGTTAGTAGCTATCTGGTACGATCATAATATTACTCAAAGTAATCCCCAATGGCATGGTGGAGGACATGTGCCACTTTCCAGGACTCCACAGAATGTCAAGGTGGGAAAAGTTGCGCCATTTCGGCTTGGATTATCGTATGGCTGGGTCCAATGTCACCAGACGCAAAAGCTGGCAAATCCCCGGAGAAACGGGGGGTCCACTTATCCACCGGTAAGACCCCAAACCCTGGCTTTAAGCTTGGTTTGTGTAGTAGCGGGCAGTCGCCGATGCGGAGAGCGCGGGGTAGACCGGAGCAGCCCCGGTCACCCCACCGGTGGTCTTCCGGCTTGACCATTGGCTCACCACCGTGCTGGTTAACTTATTGTTACCTACACCAGCACGATCACACACAAAGTTGGCTGATGATGACCGCTATTAGTTACCGGGTAAAGTCGAGTCATTAATCCACTCTCTGCAGGTGCCCATGAATAGGACCGATTGACCGTTGCCCATCTCGGGCTCTGCTTCACCGGCGATGACGTTTTCAATGCAGTACTCCTGGTCGGTAATCAGCGATCGACGACCATCATCTTGTCCCGGTCTTTGTTTGATTTGCAGTCGACATATTAAAGTTCCTCCAAACTACTGCGTCGTCAATTTCTCGTGGCATTTCACCGGTGCCTTTTGTGATTGCCCTTCGAGATCTCAACGTGGCAAGGTCGCATCGCATTCATTGAGAACATGAAGATCGCAGGGTTCTTTCTTGTTGTTGCGCTTGTCAGCTCTTCGGCCGCGGCGAAGTCAAATAGCACCGCGCCATCTGAGGTGCCATACTACGGAAGAAGTCCGCCAGTGTACCCATCTCGTAGGTCTTCGTAACCATTAGCTAAATTCAGACTTGTCTAACATGAAGCAGCCATTGGTAATGGCTCAAGCAATTCTGGTTGGGCCGCTGCCTATCGCCATGCCAGAGCATTGGTCTCCCAACTCACGGTCGAAGAGAAGGCGAATATCACTCGAGGGTGGACAGGGACATGCGTAGGGAATTCCGGCGAAGTTCCTAGACTCGGAATCCCGGCACTGTGCTTTGCTGATGCACCAGACGGAGTCCGCGGTCAGGAATTCGTTTCCGCATTCCCGGCCGGAATCCACGTTGCTGCTACCTTTGACAAAGCCCTGTTATACAAGTATGGCAAGGCACTGGGCGACGAGTACTACGGAAAAGGTATCAACGTCGCTTTAGGGCCGGCTGCTGGCCCTCTCGGGAGGGTTGCTCGTGGTGGGCGCAACTGGGAGGGACTGTCAAGTGACCCTTACCTTGCAGGCGTTGGCATGGGCGCAATTACGCGCGGCATCCAGAATGCCGGCGTTATCGCCACTGCCAAACATTGGCTCTTGAATGAGCAAGAGTATCGGCGTCGGGTATCCGACCTGGGAGAGGCGATCAGTTCAAACGTAGACGACAGAGCACTACACGAACTCTACGTTTGGCCCTTCATGAATTCTCTCAAGGAGGGTGCTGCCTCGGTCATGTGCTCGTACCAGAGATCCAATCACTCTTACGGCTGCCAGAACTCTAAACTCTTGAACGGCATATTGAAGACCGAGCTCGGCTTCGAAGGTTTTGTTGTTAGCGATTGGGAAGGCCAAATGGGCGGTGTTGCCTCAGCCAACGCCGGGTTGGACTTGGTGATGCCGGACGAGGGGTTCTGGGGGGACAAGCTGGTCGAGGCTGTCAACAATGGTTCTGTAACCGAAGAACGACTATCCGACATGGCCACGAGGATCCTCGCTGGTTATCACTTCCTTCATCAAGAGCATGCCTTCCCTGCTCCAGCAGTGCACTCGAATCTGCAAAAGGCTTACCCAGTCGATGTTCAGGATGATCACGCTTCTTTGATCCGTCAAATCGGAGCAGCCGGCACAATCTTGGTAAAGAACACCAATCATACGCTTCCGCTCAAGAATCCCAAGTTCCTGTCTATCTATGGTTACGACGCAACGGTCAAGGCGATCCCTTGGGAGAACCCAAGTCGCTATGGCGGAGGTTACGAAGTCAACTTCGGCTGGGAAACATTCAATGGGACACTGATCACCGGTGGTGGCTCTGGCGGCAGTACTCCCCCATATGTGGTCTCACCATTCCAGGCGATCCAAGAGCGAATTTCCAAGAATCGAGGCATCCTACGATGGAACTTCTACTCTGAAAACCCCTCTCCACCCTACGTCAACTCTGAAGCCTGCCTTGTTTTTATCAACGCGTATGCCTCTGAGAGCTTTGATCGCCTGAGCCTCACGGACGAATTCAGCGACAACCTTGTGCAGAACGTAGCCGCAAACTGTTCAAATACTGTAGTCGTGATCCACTCGGCCGGTAAGTGGAATAAAGCGAGACATATCTACTGCAGGACCCTTTTGGATGCTAATGAATCCCAGGCATTCGCACTGTTGATGCGTGGATCGAACACCCTAACGTCACTGCTGTCCTTTTTGCCGGCCTTCCTGGCCAGGAGAGCGGCCACAGCCTTGTGGATGTACTATGGGGCGACATTAATCCATCTGGAAAGCTGCCTTTCACTATTGCTCGGCAGGAGTCGGACTATGGCAGCCATCTGAACTCCAGTGCCTCGGATGACTTCTTCCCTGACAGTAACTTCACCGAAGGCCTGTACATCGATTACCGTTACTTCGATGCACACAATATCACTCCCCGCTATGAGTTTGGCTTTGGCCTCGCATATACCACTTTCAGCTTTGCTGACTTGTCCGTTGAGCTCACGGCTGACGCGGATACATCAGAATACCCCGATCCCAATGTGTCGATCGTGCAGGGTGGCCATCCATCACTGTGGGAAACCGTTGCAGTTGCAAAGGTGTCTCTCACTAATACCGGTGACGTGGATGGAGCAGAGGTTGCACAGCTGTACATCGGAGTTCCGGGTGACGACACGCCTATTCGACAGCTTCGCGGCTTCTCCCGCGTCTTTCTTTCAAGTGGGCAGACGCAGTCGGTCGCCTTTGAACTCACCAGACGTGATCTTAGCATCTGGGATGTCGAAGCTCAGCAGTGGCGTTTACGCCGAGGAACTTATAACGTGTGGTCTGGATCATCGAGCAGAAATCTGGTTCTGCAGGACACTATTGAGATTAAGTAGCGTACTATAGTTTACTTGGTAATCAGCCCTTGAGGTAATCTTGTCAATAATTCAATGATATGAGTACTTTATCTCATTCTTGCATCGTGTCCTGACTCTTTGTCTGATGATCTCGCTGATAGAAAAGCCTTGCTGCGTCGAGTTCATCTGTTAGGTGTTGACAGGGACGGTACAAAATAATTACATGTATTGGCATGATCAGCAAGCCACATGAATGCCTCGTCCCCTGCATGTCATCGATGCGACGCCACATAGTTTACTGCAGATACAACCCCCCTTAGCCACGTCCGGCCTAAAGTCCCCAGGTAAGTAGATTACACCATGCGCTGACTAAGGCCAACTCATTTCTTTACTCTTCTACCTTCCCTTCCTCATTCTCTTCTTTTCACCACGGCAAGCTTCTGCAAGAGCCCTCCGGCACCACTATAAACACCTCCTACCTCAACATGCCTTCGAAATCATCTCAGATCAATGTAGATGCGGAGATCGTCTATGAATATCATCGAATGCATATGGCTGTCAGTCCTGCTAAGGCCATCTTCTGCCTTTGTAGTCTCGACACACGAGTAGCAACACGCGCAGCACAGCTTTTCCTCGCTGGTTATGGAGAATATCTCATCTACTCTGGCGGATCAGGGAAACTTACGGCAAATCGTTTTGCGAAACCAGAAGCCGAGATATTTGCATGTATTGCCAGGGAGTTAGGGGTTCCGGCCGACAAGATCATCGTGGAGCCAAACTCGAGCAACACTGGCGAAAATGTTCGGTTCACCCATGCCCTTTTGAAAGAACTAGAGCTAGAGGCCACGAGCTTCGTGCTGGTTCAGAAGCCATATATGGAAAGGAGAACATATGCAACCTTCAGCAAACAATGGCCGGACCCCAAAACAGTGTTCACTGTGACAAGCCCTGAACTGGGATTCGCCCAATATCCGAATGAGGAAAACCCTCGTGACTTAGTTATTGAGATCATGGTCGGGGACTTGGTGAGAATCCGAGAGTACCCAGCAAAGGGCTTTCAAGTTGAGCAAAGGATTCCTTCCGAGGTCTGGGAGGCAAACCAAAGGCTCATTAACGCTGGCTACGATGGGCATTTACCCTGATTAATGGCCCATTTTATTGATAGAATCTTGCAAACCATTTTCTTTTATTACGGTTCTGAATGGAAGCTCCTTCTTAGGATACCTCAGATTATGGCACCCCTCGTTCCAAGTGTTCAATATGGCTTCCTCTTAAGCCTTTTTTCACTCTTCATCCGGGCTTCCAAAGTCCGCCCTTGCTTGTGATGCAATTTCATCGTCGACAAGCACTCTTACGGCAAGCATTGCCATACCCTTGGCGCACATGAGAGCCGCTTTGTGAGCTTCGTCAGTTGCAGCAGCGGCCGCGAATTTGGGATTGTGGCCTGCCACATCTGGCGAGGTCGGGATGACGAAGGCGCCGTGGAAGCTAGGCACGTGATAGGACACGTTTCCCATATCCGTCGAGGCGTTGAATGGTTTTGCCTGATGAAGCTGTATTGTCTGACCGATCACGGCCATATCTTCCACATATGTCTTGCATAGGGTGTTATTAGCTCGTAGGTTCATGTACGTCGGCGCCCTGTAAACACCGCATCAGTAGAGTCATAAGAATTGCAGCGCTCATAACATTTACACAATGTAGTTGATCTCGCAGCCCGTCGCGGCTGCGCCTGCTTCCAAGCATGCCTTAACCCTGTTTAACAGTGCATCGGCGCGCTCAATTGTTGGGCTGCGGACATTCCAGTTCATGCGGGTATAATCCGTGATGACGTTGGGAACAGTGCCGCCGACTTCGATTACACCATGAACTCTTTCGTCTGACTGAATTTGCTGCCTGAGGAGAGCCACATTGTTGTAGGCTGCTACAGCCGCATCCAACGCGTTCAACCCTTTCCATGGCTCGCCTGCTGCATGAGCGGGCTTTCCACGGAATTCAACGCGGAACTTATGGCTTGCAATGAGCTTAAAGCCTGCCAGCCCTGAGGAACCATCTCCACTACCGCCCTGATGAGCTGCAGTTGGATGCGCCATGATGGCCGCTGCGATATCCTCGGGGGGGTTGAAAGCACCGGCATCAATGAGTTTCGCTTTACCGCCTCCACCTTCTTCGGCTGGGGTTCCGAGAATGCGTAGGCGCCCCGGGATCTTCAAGTCGACGAGTGTGCGAGCAGCCCCCAAGAATGCAGCAATTGAGGACGTTGCAATCAGGTTGTGTCCGCAGGCATGGCCGATGTCTGGTAGAGCATCGTATTCAGCGCAAACAACGACTTGACGGCCGCCACTGCCTATTTCGGCCTCGAAGCTCGTTTCGAGGCCATAGGTATGCTTTTTGACGGAGAACCCTTGCTTTTCCAAGTAAGCTGTGAGGGTGTCGTGGGCAAAGAATTCCTTGTATGCAGTTTCCGGATTTGCGTGCAGCTGTTTGTTGACGTCGTTGTGAAGAGAAGAGTCTAGGTCATCGAGGTGTGCGTTGATGATCTTGCGGGCCTGTTCGAAGTCAAAAGCCCCTTGCACTCGTTTGGGACCCGGGTTGGCGCTCTGTTGCTCCCCAGCAGCATTAGCGGCGACCGGGGTTTGAATAATAGACATGGTGATAGGATTCGAAGCGTGAATCCCTTACTCGCAGGGAAACGGTTTCAAGAAATGCCAAAGATTGGCGAGATATAATTCGAGATGGAGGAGCCTCTTCGATAAATGAAGTATACTGCTCTTCAAAATCACTGACTGCTCATCAACATGTTTTTAAAGGCCTAACTCCAACAAGTTCATTTGTTCCCGTCAAGACATCTCCTACGCCCTGGTGTGGAGAGCTTGCGCTCCGCAGCTGAGACGGGGGTGCCACCCATCGGCAATCGGTGCTTCTAGCCAGCCGACCAGGAGACCCTCCAGTCTTGACAATTTCCAGATAGGCACGGAAGATAGCCGATGGTCGGCAATTTTGGTTTGTTTCCATTCGATGAGACTTAACCGCTACTCACCACACGGTATTGCTAATGGCTAAGCTCATTACTCCGTACCTTGCTTTCAATCTGTCAGTCAGCTTTCCTTATCATCCCTTCCTTCTGCTGATATTATGAAATTCTCGTTCCACTTCCGTATTCCCTCGTCGGCTAATTCAATCATTCATGAGTTCCAGCGGCGGCGCGCCGGAGGCATTTCAGTCATATCATCCACAATTTCCACTCGAATTATCCTCTTTTCCCCAGACGCGCCTACGCAGTAACGTTGTTCATTTGGGAGTTCGGTGAACACCCTAGCCCTCGATCCCCACTCAAGTGCTTCAGTTGGAAGTCTCTACTCGCCGATACAGCCGACCTCGAATCAGTTGGTTAGACACTACCAATGAGCGCTTCTCCCTCCGAAGCCGACGGGAGCTCACCCGGCAGCACAAGCTCAGTTTCAGCCGACGGTCTCCCCATTATTACCGATGTACGGCCCCCCCTAGACGCCGCCGGATTTGTCGGTACCACCGCGTCCGCAGCAGCGGCGACGGCGGCGCGCACGGGCGAGGGTCGGAGTGGACCACGTTCGAGAAATGGGTGTTGGACTTGTCGCACAAAGAAGGTCAAATGTGATGAGCAGCGGCCAAATTGTCATCGTTGCACACGTCTGCGGCTTCTTTGCGACTATGCACCTCGCGTCAAGCTTACGAAGAGGGGCAAGACACGCAAAGATCGGCTCTTTTCGTCTCACCCCGACTCGTCATCGTCTTCCTCGTCGGCTGGAGGAGTTGGCACGTCACTCAGCTTGCCGACATGGGTGCAGACAATGTCTCAGCTCGATCAGTCCAAGGCTCTATCTTTGTTTAATCCGTCGGCTCCGGGGATGGGGGCTTGCTCACTTGATCTTTCGTCGGCTGATCACGAGGCAATCCGGTACTTTCGCACATCATTCGCCAAACAGAACCACACCAAGAATCCGGATTACTCGCTGTACTCCATCATGTTCGACATTGCCCAGACCGATGCTATGGTAATGCATGTGGTACTTGCTCTTGGGGGGCGGGAGCTGGAATTCCGGCGCAACAAAAATGCAGAAGAGGCGCGTGGCCCAAAAACGCCCATTCAGCATTACTCTTCCGCCCTCCGAATGATGGCCGACACCATCGGAGGTGAGGACAATGGTCAGCTGGATCTTGATGCAGTCTGTACAGGATTGTATCTCATGCTTCTCTATGAACAAAAGTATGGAGATGGAAAGTGCCAGGGCTTGTCCAATCATCTCGTCGGTGCGAGTTTGATATTACAACATCGCTTCAAGGATTTACTGCTTCAATTACCGGCGCCCTCACCGGAGGCGAATCGGAAAAGTTTAGCTCTCACGAGGCGAGGACAAGACGCGAGTGGTTCCCGCCTATCTCTGTACTCGGCAAGAATGCTTGTTTGGATCGCGCTACATGATGCCGCTGCCGCTTCATACGGCCTTGGCGGACAACTCAACTGCGCCCTCCACAAAATCATGGGTGCCCTCGATGGCCAAGTTAGCAGCGGAAGATCCAGTCCGTTTCAACCGCTCGACGCCTTCGAGAGGTTACACCGTTTCTCCAATCCACTTTACCGGAGTATGTGGGCTGATTCATACCCCCAAGCGGAGCTTCTCGACGACGTGGAGAATAGGAATGTTTATGCTCTTTTGGGAGCATGCGGCCAATTGCGCTTTATGATTGCCCAGCTCGCTAATCTCATACATGAAGATGATGCCTCGCAGCAACACCGCGTCATGGCTGTCGATATGACCATTCAACAAGTGGGTTGGAAATTCACCGAACTACTGGAGGTCGCAGCAGAGCTTTCCATCAGCACGAATAACTCACATCGGCTAGTAGCCAACATTCGCGGCATTGTACCTCACTATCATGCCGTCGTTCTTGAATTTCTTCGTTTGACGCGATTTGATGCCACGCCAATGCTCTCAGCTCGTCAACGAAACGCTTTGCGAGAAATCATGAATCTGGCTTTCCAGGCCTTCAAGCATGAAGGCGATGAGGCCATGACACGCATTGCGTGGCCACTCTTCATGGTTGCTCTGGAGACAGACGACTTACTGCACCGCGAATGGGTTATCAGCCGCTTTCAGGCTATGAGTCGGTTCAGTAAGAACCTCGACAGGGCCCATGTCTTTCTCAAGGACATCATAGAGATGCAGAACAATCTTGCGAGACGGGTAGACGTTCGTGAGCGTTTCCAATCCGGCGAAGTGGGCCTCTTTGTTATCTGAGCCACCAGTATGAGTTCGGTGTTTGTCCGGTTCCCCCAAGCAGGCTTGGGTAGTGTCGACGGCCGCGATAGCCATGTTCATTCAAAACTAGAGTCCGGCATGTTTCCCCGCATCGTTGGAACATGACATGGGCCGGCACGGCGGATATGTGGATCGGCTAATGTCCATGCCCCCAGAGCTGCGTCGGCTATCAGTGACAAGTTGATCAGCCACTAGTCAGAGGCATCGTATTGGAACACGACTTCCGGTCAGACAGTTGTTGGTTCCGCGATGACTTTACTATCAACCCCACAATATCATCGCAAGTGGCCAATTCCGGCACTTTCACGAGGCTTTGGCCGAGGCCGCACTGCCATCTGAGTGAACAGGGCTGCACCAATTGCGTCTAAGCTTGAACTGATTGGAACGACGAGCTTCCAGAAGGCGGCGCATAAATAGCATGACCTTGTTCGCTTATCGAACTTGCTTCCTCACTAAAGTTCACGGGGGCTCTCATCGTTAACCTCCTGCAGAATTGCGTATTCTCCTTTACCGCTCGCGATTCATTCACCCTTACCTTCAATATGTCAGAGAAAGGTGGCAAGCCTCATCTAGGCCTAGGCCCAGCCGATGAGACATTGAAAGATATTGGCGAAGGCACCACCTCGATCCGAGGTCTGGCTTACAGCGAAGACAAGAGGATTCTCCGAAGGATCGATTTATGGTAATTACGGAGTCCTCAATCAACCTCTCCTACGCCGAGATATATCCTAATTTCAAGCCACAGTCTTTTACCAGTAATGGCCATGTCGTACCTTTTCCAATTTCTTGACAAATCTGCTCTTAGCTACACGGCTATCATGGGCTTGCGGGATGACTTGCATCTAAATGGGTCCGAGTACTCTTGGGCAAGTAGTATCTACTACTTTGGTTACCTTATTGCTTCGTACCCTGCAGGAGTCATGATGGTCAGACTTCCTGTCGGCAAGATGATTGCGGTCTCGGTGTAAGCACTTTTCCCTAGCCGACGAAGCTAAGATGCACAACTGACCTGCAAAGTCTTGCTTGGGGAATTATTCTCATGTTCACTGCGCTTTGCTCCAACGCTGGTGGTTTATTGGCAAACAGAATCATGCTGGGTGTTTCCGAGGCCGCCATCGCGCCGGGCCTCAGTATCGTTATCTCCATGTGGTACAAACGCTCAGAGCAGCCTCTACGACATGGCGCCTGGTTCCTTGGCAACACTGTTGCCGGCATCTTCGGGGGAGTCGTTGCCTATGCTATCGGTCACGTTGATAGTATAGCTCCATGGAAGGTATCTACTTCATCTACAATCCGCCAGCGAATAAGTTGCTGATTCCTGCGAGTACAGGCCGTCTTTCTTATCTTTGGCGGAATCACTACAGCCTGGTCATTTGCAATTTTTTTCCTCTTACCTGACACGCCGATGAAGGCTCGATTTCTCAGCGAAGCTGATCGTATCAAGGCCATTGAGCGTGTCGAGGAAAACATGACGGGAATCAAAAGTGACATGTTCAAGTTGTATCAGTGCGTGGAGGCCTTGACCGACATCAAAGCTTGGCTACTCTTCGGCATTCAGATCAGCGCCCAGATTGCCAATGGTGGCGTCCATGGGTTCGGATCCATCGTTATCAAAGGAATGGGCTTCAGCACTCTCAACACCCTCCTTGTGCAGATGCTGGGGTCGGTCTTTCAGCTCATATTTGTCTTGATGGCCACTGGAGGAAGCACCTACTTCCGCAATAGTCGCACCTATTGGATGGCACTAAACCTTGCCATCTCTATCGCTGGTGCTGCCATGGTTCGCCAGATACAATCAGAACTCAAGTGGGCACGGTTTATGGGGTACTGCCTGACGATCGCGTACAGTGCCAATTTCCCCATGATCCTGTCCATGTCTTCTGGAAACTTTGGCGGATTCACCAAGAAGACTACAGTGAATGCGATGGTACGTATGACATTCCCATTGTCAGTGGGTCTGAGACTGATTTGAGTTCAACAGATTTTCATCGCCTACTGTGCTGGTAACATCATCGGTCCGCAACTATTCTTCGAGTGGGAAGCACCGTCTTACAGCTCTGGTTTCTTAGCCATGTTGATATGTTATAGTCTTGGAGTCCTGATGTGCTTCGTCCTTCGTTACTATCTAGTGTGGGAAAATAAGCGACGCGACAGCATTGGAGGGGAGCTTGACGCAGGCGTTGGAAATGATGTGTCTCTGAACCTACTTGATAGAACGGACAAAGAAATTCCCCAGTTTAGATATGTCTACTGACCATGCGTCATAGGTCAGGGGTAGATGTGGTATGGACACTGCTGGTTGCTTCGCAAATCTTTGTTCGATTATCAAAATCAATGCATGATCAACGAATTCATAGAACGAAGCATCATGTGCAGACATGGCGCAATATCTGCGGCCATGAAGAGTCCAGCGACAAAAAAGATTACTCCAGCTCCCATACAAGCGGTTCCTCGTCCCTCATTGCGCGCCATTTGTTGGTCGCTCTCATGACATCCTCACAACCCTTGAGTAAAAAGCCCCATTTCTCGACAAACCTTTCTGTGACCTCCCAACCATCAGGATGCCAAGGGTCTGACCAAGCAATGATTCCCGGTTGATTAAGACAGGCATCGCCTTCTTGACAGCCCACTAAGTCAGCACAAAGATCATGCTGGCTGTACTGATCACGGAACTTGATAGCGTTATCGCGCATGCCACCCGATGGGAAAATGTCGATCCAACATTCGTGGGGTGTCGAGCTTTGTGTGGGAGTAGGCATCAAAGTCTCTGGCACTTGACAAGGTGTTGGAAATAGTGGTGTTGTGTGAAGGTCCGGTGTGCATGGGCTAGTGAGCAGAGACGTGAGAGATAGGATATGAATGTTGGTAATGGTAGCCCTGAAGACATTGTAAAATACCAGCGGGATGAGGTGATCCTTATACAGAGGGAGCCATGTAGTGGGATTCTGGAAGTAAGGCGGCACACGCCTTCCTAAGCGCGATTTGCCATTATTGTGGTTGCGTGCAGGTCGCTGTATCTGTGCAAATATCACAAGCCCCTTCGCAGCGACACGCAGGCGAGTTTGGCTCTCATCTCTTTCAGAACGAGGATTTGAACAGCGGTGTGCTTCAGCTGCAGGCTGTCCCGGTGGAGCCCACTGTATAAAATCTAGACTTGTTCCCGAGCTCAGATTAGGTCGTGATTCTTTGTTAGAAGATCCATATGACATATCAGGCGTTGATGTTTCCGTCTGCCCAATTTGATGCAATTCGAGAGCCTTTCGCTTTCCTGTGAGCCGCGTCAGCAATCTCTCGGTAGTACTAAGCCTGGTTGGGTGGCCTCATACTGTAGGCTCTGACATTGAGGCGATTTTGTCTCTTGCGTCTTTCCGCTCGATCACGAAGACCAGTCCAGTCATCATCCCGGCATTGTGCTTCCGAGGAATGAAGCATGGGTGCCGAGACAATCATTTGTGATTCCCTTTCCAAAGCATGCATTGCGGAACTTGAGAAGTATGGAGCGGCTGACGCGTCAGGTTCTTTAGTCGACGTATTTCAGCCAGATGGAAGGTACAACTTTCGTTCGAAATAATCTGTATAGATAGAAGATGAGTTTGAGTGAAGGACGTTGATGGAATCTCAGACGAAATTGTTGTTGTTGCATCCTGCTAACTGCCAAGGGTGTGTCAAGGGATTGTCCAACTCCTTCATCCTCTGGAAGTGGAGCTCCTGCAATGGGCTTACAAGGCTTTCCCTCTTCCGGACGAACCTCCCAATCAGCCGGAGATGTTCAAGACCAATGAGGGTGTTCATTTGTGTGGGGTCTTGCCGCTATGGTCGTGGGTGTTTTAATTGGTCTTCACAATCTTCGTGCCAGGTTCCGATGCCCACGTGGAAGCAATACGTGTACCTCAATATGCCAGCAAGGATCAGGATGTTGTCGGAAAATTTCATCCGAAAGGAAAGGAAGAAAACAAGCTCAGCTTCGGTGATGCACTTTCGCTGTCAGATTTGCTGAGGATTGGGCCGCGGCTGGAGTTTTACCAAAGACTCTGTGATCTCAGGCTGGACGAACAAGCACGACGGTGGTTCAAGCCATCAACACTCCGATTTCAAGGCTTTGGTAGGTTTGACAGACTCTAGCGAATTGATAACATGGCCCTGTAGACTTTGTTTGAAAGAGTAATTCCATACTATGTTCATTACCTCCTTGAATTACGCAAAGCGACTTTATAGGCCGACTGCATTGACACACGTCCGCGATCTAACCGACGTACGAGGACACTGCATCTATCTTGCGACGTTATTATCCTCAGCCACGTTTACTGCTCCCATAATCTAGCGTGTTTGAGAATTCTGCCGATTCAAGAAAACTTTCCTAGAATCCCATCTTCATGAAAGATTTAAGGGATGAAGGGCACTGATTGGTGTCCCAATGGTTGATGGCGAACCACATCCAGCCTTGGGGAGGGAATTGCCACCGCGATGAGTATTTCCAAACTCGACATGGAGCAAGCGCGGCTGAGCATGAGATTCTTTCGTCCTGCATAGCCCGAGTGCTAGGCTGCCAGGATGTGCAGAGTTATTGGCCAGCCAAGCCAGTCTTTCCGCAGCTGACAGCCGCATTGGTAACAGCGTCTTATCTGATCTCGACCATATGTCTCAGTGCTACCGCTTTGCGTCTAGCTGATCTAGTCTCATTTCTTTCACATACCATGCGAGCCCACACCAGTATTCTCCGTGGGGTGGCCGAGAAGTGTGCCTAGCTTGGAACCATGGGCTTGGGATCGGAGGCTGGACTTGTCTGGCTTCGCTTCTGGGCCCTGCCGTCAACAAATCTCCCATAGGAACGCAGCGAGCCGGTGCTGCATCCCGAAAAGAGCTGATGAAGCTACATCTAGACCATCTCGTGAGTTGGCCTTGACCCCACCGCCATTGAGTATAATACATTCACGTTGGTCACCTCTTCGAAGCATCGTGTGACACTCTCCGGAATCCTCTCCACGACACTCCTTCAATTGTGAAATCGTCTCATTGGCGTTTTTGTTTTCCGCAGCGGCACCTTTTGTTTATCCTCACACTCGCAGGAGTAACTTCTAGCCGGTAAAATTGATCGACATTCCATTCACGTCCCGGTCACTTCCTCAATCATGTTGAGATCCATTAGCACCGCCGCAGCTTTGCTGGCTCTGCTGTCAACGTCTCAAGCCCAAATACCCAAAGTCAGCGGTTTCACCTTGGTGTGGTATGACGATTTCAGCGGCAAAGCCAACACAGTTCCAGACCAGAATAACTGGATTATCGACACTGGGACCAGTTATCCCGGCGGCCCAGCAAATTGGGGCACATCGGAAATCCAGTCATACACCAACAGCCCCAACAATATCCGAGTCAATGGCGCTGGGAATCTTCAGATCACCGCCATCAAGAACCCTTCCACGGGAGCATGGACTTCCGGGAGGATTGAGACTCGCAGAGCCAATTTCATGGCGCAGCCAGGGAAAACCATGCGGATCCAGGCTAGTCTGAAAATCCCTAATCTAGGAACCAACGCTGGTATTGGCTACTGGCCCGCGTTCTGGACCCTGGGCGCTGAATATCGTGGCAACTACTGGTAAGCTTTTCACCCCCGGCCTACCCTAGACCTTCAGTCTAACCCATCTTGTCTAGGAACTGGCCGGCAGTTGGTGAGATCGATATCATGGAAAATATCAACAATCTTGACCGCGCTTATGCCGTCTTGCACTGCGGCACCCAGCCTGGTGGCGCTTGCAATGAGCCATCTGGCCTCAGCGGGTATCGCTCTTGCCCTGGAAGTTCCTGTGCCGGTAACTTTCATACCTTTACCGTAGAGGTCGACAGATCAAAGTCTGTAGAAGCGCTTCGCTGGTATGTGGACGGCGTTCAGTTCCATCAGGTTCTTCAGTCACAAATGCCAGCAGCCACCTGGAAGGGGACTGTACAAAAGCCGCACTTCATTCTACTCAATATGGCCATTGGCGGATCTTTCCCCGATGCCATTTACGGAAAGAAGACACCTATCAGTACCACTTTGTCTGGCGGAACGTACGAGGTTGAATATGTTGCTGTTTATCACACTTAATTATGGTTAAAGCCTAGACTGCTCTACGATTTCCTCCAGGATTCTGCACTTATATCGGTTTTGTTTTACTTTAGAAATCAGGATACCACAAGAAATATCATTCCAGCGTTTCACGTCATCATTGCCAAATTATAATTTTGTCCTTCTCGAGCTCTTCCCTCGGCCCTGACATGAATCCACAGTCGATGACTGTCCCTTCAGCGAATAAGATTACGGGGCAACCTGCTTCGCCAATCGAATACGGAGTTCTGTCTTCAATCACAATATCGACTTACGATATGGCAACTTCATCCATCTTTGTCCATTTATCATGAGCAGTTATGGTGGTCTTGCAGCCGGCGTATTATTAGACAAGAGTCACAGCTTGCGCAGGCTCCTCTTCGTGGGAAAAAAAAGTCCTTTCGGATGACAGATGCTGGGAGGAAGGAGAACTGGACATGAGAGCCGCTCTACGGGATATGTCATGCTTTTTCCTCCATCCTAGCCCTCCGTACATCCTGCTGGCGCGATTATATAAGGAAAGCGATAAATACAAGGGCTTAGATAAGCCAGTATCTAAAGTAAGTGAACATATGCCAAGTTGAAATGTAAAAAGAAAGGTCATAAATGAATACGGTAGAAATCCAAACGGTCCACGCATCATCGCTTGTGATTTTACATGCACGCACCGTTGCCGCAATAACGTGTGCGACTCTGGCCATTGCAGGACGGTGTGAAGTGTGCCTACTAGCAAAAAACATACACTGTGGTGGAAAGCGTCGATCCAGGAACCGCGGCTGTTCTATGACGACATGCTCGAGCTTGCACTGTGACCACAGATTGAAGTGTGACGAGTGACAACAGCTTTCTTCTGACAAAAGGTCCCAGCCTCGCCACCACTACCTTATCATACCTAGCCATGCACTTAAGTAAATGTAGGCCACGATCAAGAGCTACGTTTTATGTCTATGATAGTCGCATGAGGCCAGCCAGCAATTACTTTGTGCACAGCAATCTCCTCACTATGAAACGCACCGCGATAGCTGCAAACCTTTCCAGTGGGAGTCAAAATGTCAAGAAATCACGGCCGGCAGTACCCGATTATCATTTGACACCCTCGGTAAGGGACGATCACGGCGAAATTGTGTGGCCCGCGCCAGAGAGTAAGATGGAAGCGGCGAGATCCTTCATTCGCGAATGGTACGGTTGGGAAATCCGCGAGCTCAACTGCTGGTCTCGAAAATGTGTCGCCTGGTGATTTCTCTCAGTCTCATACTGACACTCTACTAGTGTTTCTGCCGGAAAGCCCACATTGATTGTCCCGGACAAGGACGCCGACGGCCTCACATCTGGGGTCATCTTGGAACGTACCCTAGTTCTTCTTGGCCTAGATCCATCTCTCATCACTGCGTACTTGCCCCCAAAGGGCCATAACATCCACGACGAAGCGTGCCGGGCAGAGATGACTTCTCTTAAGCCCACCTACATCTTCGTCCTAGACCAAGGCTCTCGTTCTTCGCCACCTCTCATCGACGGCTTCCATCACGGTATAGTCATTGATCATCATCACGCACTGACAAACGACCACCCAAAGGATGCGTTGCATGTCACAGCCTGCGACTCCCCTCCAGTGGCGACAAGCTCTCTACTCACGTACCTCATCTGTCGAAGTCTCCACGAGAGCGTGCGAGAAGCTTGCGACTGGCTTTGCGTCATGGGTACCCATGGAGACTTGGGGAATACCTTGAAGTGGGAGCCTCCGTTTCCCGACATGAAGTCCACGTTCAAAACATACACCAAAAAGGCTCTCAACGACGCCGTATCACTCATCAATGCCCCGAGACGAACAGCCTCGTATGACGTTCCTTCTGCTTGGAAAGCCCTCCGTGCCTCGAATTCTCCAAAAGAGCTGCTGAGCAACAAGTCCCTGCTGGCCGCCAGAGCAGAGGTTAACGCCGAAGTCGAGCGCTGCACCCACACGCCCCCCAAGTTTTCCGCCGACGGCCGCATCGCCGTCTTCCGCATCAGCTCAGAGGCCCAAGTCCACCCCGTCATCGCCACACGCTGGGCGGGACATCTGTCCTCATCCAAGCTCGAGGTTGTGTTGGTTGCCAACGAAGGATATCTGCCCGATATGGTCAACTTTTCATGTCGTGTTCCGCGCTGTGCCCGAGCCAAGGAGCCGCCAGTCAACATCATTGAGGTTTTGCGGGATGTCGCTACTCGCGCCGAGGACACGACTTTGAGGGAGCGGCTAGGCGACTCATTTGCCAGGGGCCATAAGGAAGCTAGCGGCGGCATTGTTCCAAAAGCCGAGTTCGAGGAGTTGATGTCTGTCCTGGAGATTGGCAAGAAAGTTGAACGAGAATCCCCCAAAAAGGGACAGAAGCCAGGGCAGTCGAATACCTTGTTGAACTATTTTGGAAAGAGTTAGATATGATATAAGACTGGAGAACTTTCAGACTCCTCGGGCCGATTTGTTTGTGTTCCGCAGAGCAGACCTTTGTCTCGCGATTCTCAAATTTCTGGACCGACTATACCCCGTACTGCCGCCTTCTGGAGTACCCTACTGTAAAAGCCCTTTTCGGATCATAGAACATAGCCTTCAGAGGCTTCCCAAGGTTTCTTGATGCCGGGATTGCGTGTAGCTCTATGATGTGCCCGAGTGGCGGCCCTGTTGGCCCAAAAAATGCCCACGTCTCTCCAAACGACGCAGGAGCCAAGGTCGTAGGTACCGTCTGCCCAGGGGCCAAATACATCGCAAACTGATTCGGTATGCCTTGTATCAAACGCTGATGTTGAATGGGAACCAGGACTGGCCTATTTGGGAATCCGTCGTCGCTTTCCGCTAGTTGATATCGGTCTTTCCGTCCTGGAAGGATCAGTGTAACACAGCCGAGCTTCCACGCGCCCATGGCTGTTTTGGTCGCCGGTACAAGGATGAGGAAGTTTTGTTGTCTGACTTCATGTATTATTGGATTTCATAATGAATTGAATTTTCAATATCAAGGAAGCAGAATTATCAGCGACCTCCGTTGACTTTATGGTGAAGTGGGTAGGCTGTTGATGTGTGTCGCTGAATCATGCCCGTCGGCCTTTACGCAAGTCATTCCGCCACTGAAGTCAGCAGGGCATCTTGTTCTGAATCACTATCATCATTATTTGAGCTCTATATGTTGTTATGTGAGTTATATTCCTGCTCGAGCAAGGCATATCTAGCGCAGTGTGCATGGTTTCCAGCAATTATTGTTCCCCCCGAAATGGAGACAAGTTTTGCAAAGTCTGAATGTGAGTAGACAATCGAAACTGCCAGAGATGCGTCATAGTCTGTACTTCACACTCAATCTCTAGTCATCTCCAAATTACAAACGACGTTGAGTTAACCTTGGTCAGATTTGATAGTTACACGGTTGTCGCAATCCATCAACCCCTTCCAAGCAACACTTGAGAAACCGAACTCTGCTCGCCTTCCAATTCTAAAGGTGCCCCACACGGGCCACCACCGGGGTGGATCCCTATCGCCGATCATGAGCGACGCTGCGGATCGCGCATCGGGATCGTCCGCAAGGATCACTCCACGTTCCCAGCTGTGTGTTCTGGGTTCACGGCCTGCGAGGGCCCACAGTTTCCGGATCGATGTACCCGGAGACCCTTCGCTGTGTTTCCGTTTCCAACTCCGGCGATGCCCCATCAGCCTTACACTCATGCGCCTGGCTGTGCCCCGGCGATCAGGTCGGTTCCTGCGTCAAAGTTGCAGATTCAAAGAATCATACAGCTATCATCCATCGAGTCTATCATAACCTGGAAAACTTACTCGCCTTTGGACTATAGTAGACTGATTCGGTTTATTTACAACGACTCACGAGCGCATTGTTAATCACCATGAACAGGGAGCAAGCAAGTGTACGCAACTCTTGGTCGCCGTGCGCTCAGCACGACGAGCGTTGTCAGATTCCGATCCCCGGGTATACCTATGCTCAATGATAATAATACAGTTACAAAAGCGTATGCTGAATGTCAACCAGCTCTGGGTCCTATTTGCTTGCGTCTTTGCGCCTGTTCCTGATATGTTCCTGTGTTTCTTCCTTTTTTTTCTTTCTGTCTTTATGCAGTTGCTGTCTTCCTCGAAGTGAAGCGGTGGCTCCAATCCCGTATCCTTTTGGAGAAACTCCTCTTCATAGGCGCGGGTTCGGGCACCTTTTCGAGCCCGCCCAGATCGTCAGACTCGGCCGCATTGTCAGTGGTCACCGACTCGCCCCCAAGCTTTGTCTGGCGGCGCTGCATGAAGGCGGCTCCAGATGAGAATGTCCTCTTGGGCGCAACTGATGCGGGCTGAGTCGCAATTTGTTGCTGTACTAATGGTGGAGATGAGATCCGATTCATTTCCGTCGTTGACACCGGAAAGGTTGATGCACGACTCTGGCAGCTGCTGCCGCTAACAGTACGAGACTGTGCTGGTCTGGAGGTCCCCGGAACAGGAGACGCTGCAGACGATGCCCAGCCTTGGCCATGACGAAGGGACACCCATACGGAGGTTACGGTGATGAGGATTCGAGTCGCTTCATCGACAGGGTGAGTCTCTCGTTGTGTCGCGCCGTGGGATGCTGTTGGCAGCGATGGAGTTTCCTTGTCGCCGGTCAAATCCATGCTGAATGGTCGTGTAGGAGGATAACGACCGGAGGATTGTGATACGGTGGTGTAGTTATCCAAGATTTCGAGATTAGCCGGCGTCAAAGTTGCCATAACGGGGTGTCGACGAAGCTGTGGATCGAGGACGCTGAAAGTGAATTTGTACTCCGAAGCAGCGGGGGTCGGTGCCGCGGTGCATGTAGCCGTGGACAGAGGCCGGGCACTACGTCTGGCCCATCTCGCAATTGTCGTTTGGCCAGCTTCGTCAACGTGGACGAAATCGTACGACCCATTGTTTGTTTGAGTGGCAGTCCAAACTGAACCGTCCGCCAAAACAATTTCCGTCTGTTCGCCAGAATCCCTCCGCTCGCCTTCTTTCCGCGACGAGACCG